CGCGTGGTCTCGTCACGGCACAGGTGCAGCCAACTGTCGAAATAGAGAGACTGGCTCATTAAATTCACGGAGGTGGTAATACGTTCTATAGTTAGTTTCGGTGCAATAAGATCTAAATTTTCACTAGTCGTTTAACTGTTAAAATCTAGACATCAGTGTATATCATTGCTTGGAGAAATTTGTATTTCAGGCCACTGTGAGCGAACTTTCATCTTTGTTACCTGATGTGCTCAGCGCGTGGTCTGTGTGGAAACAACGTTGTTTGTTAATGTATTGCTATTTGTGAACAACGTGAGTTTGTGTTCAGCAAAATGAGCATGTGTTAAATTTGATAAGTTTTGATTCGGATTAGGACTAGTTGTTAGTGTGTCTGTTACTGCTGATTAGACTTCATACAGAATATATCCTGTCAGGGCTAAAATAGGTCTTATTCCCCGCCTTGCAGACTTTTTCGTGAGTACTGTGACGTGACGCGTGGTTTAAATGTTTATGTTGTTGAGTAGGGATCTTCCTTTCAACACATTCTCTCCACTAGATACACCGAACTAAAATCTGAGCTATGTTGCTCTCAGACAAAGTCCTGGATATCCAAGAAAACAGCCATATTGGCTCGTTAAGTATATTAACATTAGCTGAACTTGGTACCCACAAGAGAAGGCAAGGAATTTTAGATGTCTATCATACCTAATGAATTATTAGACAGGGCAAGTGATTCCTCCGTCATCTACCTTCTCCCGGTGTTATTATAAATAATTAAAGAATTATTATATTATTAATTGAGCCCCCACCAAATGTAATTCTATCTATGTTTAGTTAAACAGGTAAGACTGAATACACTTGGAATTTAACAAACGATGTAGTATAAAACTTGACATACAGCTTTATTTTCTAACAATCAGTTAATTGACATACCCAGTTTGTTGTGTTTACACAAACAGTGACTAGCTAAAGTTATGATAGTAATGGGTTGTTTCAGCGCGAGAACAGCACCTGGGATTAGAGTGGTGTGATGAAGGTGATAAAGTATGAACAATTTATGAACATAACTTCCATAGAACCTCTGACAGCCGTGAGCACTGTCAAGCTCTTCCTCCTCTTCCAGCTTCTTCCCTGCTTGTTTCTCCTCCTCGCCCCCACCTCGTTCTCCCCCTCGTTCTCCACCTCGTTCCCCACCTCGTTCCCAGCTGGCCGAGTCTAACCCAATGTAGGCTACTTCATGGACTGATCGTCACATGGGCGCTGTAATCATGGAAACAAAACACATACGTGTAGTATCTTGACTTACACTAAGAATACATGTATCAATTAATACAACATATAATAATAGGATATAGTAATAAGATATAGCCCATCACTCCTCCTCATATTCCACATCCTCTCCAGTCTAGTCTGAAGGTCTTTTGTCTTACATGGGCGTCACATATCCTGCCTTCCCTCAAATGCTATGTCATGATAGTTGACTTTCTAAGTCTGGTGTCCGTCTTCACTCAGACTTCGAGTTGGCTGACATAGATATTACATGACCACGTGGAGCAGGTTATGTGCTGAAAACTCAAACATTATATATGTGCACGCTGTCCTGAATATTATCTTTCAGTGACAGTAAATACTGTACACCCATCATTCTCCCCCTGGGGTTATAAATCCCCTGTTTAGGTGAACACATTAAGTGAGCACATGGTGGGCACACAAAACGTAGCAGCATCCCTGCACATATTTGGGCATCATTTCCCACAGTCCCAACTCATATTTTGGCTGATCGTGAAAACAATATAATTACATTTCATTATAGCAAATGTCATTGTTCACATCTTATTTTATACACATGAAAACATACAATGAAAAACATGTGACACAAACATACAGGAAATAGGAATAGTTTAGCAGTTCCTTAACTTGAGATACTGAATACTCACAGAACTATTTCAAGCAGAATGTGCAGACAAATTAGGAAAAGGTAGTATAGACTAAGCTTAACTCCCTAACCTAAGTATACAAGATTAAAATTAATATTTTCTCTCACCTGGGAACTTCCCATTTATCGCCAAACCAGAGTACGACAGTAAAATATACCTTTACGTCGACCTGTTTGTTTGCCGGCAGGCTGCGATTAATGACGGGAATTCCACAGGCTCGCAGTATAAGTATTAATCTATTGTCCAAATTAAACTCCTCCCTTTCCTTAGTTTTTTTACCCAACCCTCAAGATGATGGCTTAAGCTCCTCCTCCGAAGTACCTATCAAATCACATTAGCTAACAAGTGGCCTGTCAGTCAATTATGGACTGACATCCCTAGAGCAAACATTCTTAAGTGCCCCAATCTAGTTTACCCCGAATTACACTGACGTGTTAAACTTTAAACTTCTCCTCGCCTCAATGTCTACAGTCCGCTCAATTCCCCTGTTCAAAAGGGCCCCACTCAGGCTGTGTTAGGAGATAACATTATGACACTGGTGTGAGAATCAAACCTACACCCCTAGTCTCATCAAAAGTCTGTTCAAAGCCGTCTGGTCAGGAGATAACATTTATGACATGGGCATGTGAAAGGGAATTCTCTAGCCCCGGTGTAATTGTGTAACATTACCCAAGACTGAGTCGCTTTGTCTGGACTAAGGACTGGAAACAATTTAAATCCGTGCGGTTTAAAGCAATATTAAAATAAAGCGCAGAGTAAATATAATTCTGTCTCTTTAGAACCAGAAGAACTTATTACAAGTACTAACTTCTGGAATCACTGAGATCGTCTCGTGACAAGTACGGGTTTGGCTCCCAAAACGACGACAATGTTTGGTGGAGCTTTTATAGGCTTGGAGTAGAGATGATTTCAAGGAATTGTTTTTTTTATTATCAGTTATAGTTATCTCCTCCTTTTCCTCTAACAAAACATCCCCCTTAGGTTTTGCTTCTAGTACATTTCCAATCCATGGAGTGACGTGTCACGGGTAGTTTCCTATGTCCGAACTTAAGTCCCTAAGCTCCAAGTCTGAAAATTACCGATGGAGCTGAGCTCTCTCCCTCTGTGTGTGTGTGTGTGTGTGTGTGTGCATCGGTGTCCCTTAAGGGCTGGAAACCCAACAGCACGAGTGGGGATGAAAATCGAATGCATTGCCCATAGAAATGAAGATATTACAGCCTAGCCGTAAACTGCAAAGCAACGTACCAGTACTGGTTTATGCAGAAGAAAAGGAAATGTTAGATGAATCTTTTTCTTCTCCTGTTCTATCCTTCAGCGCCAGGTTCTGAAAAACCATTGTGTTCGAACCTTTGTATGTGCTGTGTAGATAATATTTACATTAGTGCCACCAGTACGGACAGCTGATAAGAATTGTCCGCCTGTGTCGCCGTTCGCATGTAACTCTGTAGCTACAGCGACTTTCCTCCATTTACCCCAGAGTGTCAACTCTGGTACCCGTTTTATGGAGGCTGGGTCAACCCAAGGAACCGCCCGGTTTCGAACACCGACCGTGGGCTGCAGCGAGTCGCAGCTGGATTTGAAAGCTAGCCTCTTATCGACTGCGCTAACGCGGCCTCCTAATGAGCTACGTTATGTTAATGCGGACTCTTCGAATGCTGACTGCGATCAAATGAGTAGTGCAATAGAACAGACAGAGAAGCTGTACATTAAAAGAATAATTCAACGGACTGATGGCATTGGCGGTAGAAAAAAAAAAGGAAAAAAAAGGGGGATTGGTGGTGGATGAAAGGCTCTGGAATATATTCAACGCCTATGATAAGCGGACTTGTTACAACTCACGTTTTCGGGCCCAGGCACACGGTGATTGGTCGGTTATTGGTGCGGCTTAACTTTTCACACGCGCGACTATCTCTTACAGGATGTCAGGTTGCAAATTTCCTACACTATTACCGGCGATATCCTACGTTACATACTATACGATGTTACCGCCACTTTTAACGACTCCATAACATCTACAATTGGCCTCAACTACAACCCCCGTAGGGGACAGCCTTAGCCTAGGACCCAGAGAGTGCATTCTACACCCCGTGGTTTCAGACTTCTTAACATTTTGCGGTGGCTCCCAAAATGCTGCGTAGCTCCAGAAAAGCAGCGGTACCCTCCTCGTCACCCATACCAAAACAACCTGACACCCCTGTTACAGAGAGTCGGGCGTGTAAAAGGTCAGGAAGGATGAATGAACCGCAAATAACTGTGTGCCTGGGCCCGAAAACGTGAGTTGTACAGCAGACATTTAATCAGGCTGCAGCTGGTACTATTAGCATGTGGCTACTGAAGAAGGGGATGGGGCATGTGTGGGAATGTCCTGACTTCAGTGATGTCAATTATTTATTCATTCACTCATTCACTGAGTGAGTAAGACTCAACCCTACCAGGACCGCACAACGAACGATTAACATCTGATAACACAATGTACAAGGTGGCATGATTTGGATGAGATTCCACCACGGACAAGTCCCAGAAAAGCCGGTGAACTGTTAGGTTATTTAAGGGTTCGTGACATTAGTCGTAGCGGGGCTTCAAAATAACAATAAACTGTGTTCATTAACATATTCATTCCTCCGTGGAGGAGGGATCTATACGTGTGACTGACTGACTGACTTTCTACCCCACCAGGACATCACACAAGCGATAAACACCGATGACACAAAGTGCCACCATGCGGATGAGGATCGCCGTGGAGAGGTCCCTGAAACCGCGTTCAGACAATTGGCCATACTTATGGCCTGCCTATATTGCGGCCCCTGGCAAAAGCCAGGGTGGGGCTTCAAATAAAAAATTTCGTCCTTAAAAAGAGGTAAGGAAGTGTGTTAAGACATGGAAAAGGGTCCTATGCTTTAATGTGTTTGTTTAACGCATGTTCCAGGTGTGCGCACAAGGGAATTAACGCTCAAATTGAAGTCACCGGAAACCGTTCGAAAACTGGGAACTTTGATCGTCAGTTCGCAGAAATCCGTTCCCTAGAGTTAGAGAAAGTGTTGGATACACACTTTGACTTTAATTATTTCTTACATCCACTCAACCATGAGCGAGTTTGTTTTTCCAAGCTCTCCAAACTGGTTTTTATCGACCGTTAGTAGTGGAAACGACGCCGGCTTCTACGCGTTTGGGGCTCGGAATTATGTTTATGTTTACGATATTACCAACACCTCTTTGAGAAACAGCAAAAAAGATGATGCAGATACATCGTCGCAGATTGTAGAGAGAAATAATGCCCGCACAACAGATCTGCTTCATGGATTGCCCAGGCTGGTTTCTTTGTACACTCAGCATGAGGCGAAGGTGTCGTCTGTGTGTTTGTCGCCAGATTCAGAGCAGATGATTTGTTGTTCGGCAGATGAGGGTGTAGTGAACTTGTGGGACATTTTGTCTGTGACCACAATACAGAGTCATAGTGAGCACAAGGTACACACAAATAGAGAATAGTTTAATTGTAAAATGTCGAGTAATGTAATATTTTTATCATTTTATGGTATTCATCTGCATTGATAGAGCGAGGAAAAAGGGGACGGAGAGGGTTGACCAAATTATATATGGCGGCTATCTTCCGAATAACAGCCCTAAATTATCGAGGCAGAAAATATACCCTAACAGGGCCTCAGTCACGTGTCAATTGCGCACTTCCGGTGAGTTGAATTGCGCACGTCCGTCACCGCCGAGAGTATCCCACACTAAATTAGATGGCTGGGACTCATGAGCAGCAGCTACCGCATTTCCTGCAGCTGCCTTGATTTTACTTGCTCACAATTAAAAGTTTGACATCAGAATGCTTTCTGCCCATTCAAAACATAAACAACCTTAGACAGTTCATGCATGACTGATGTATCTGTCCATTATTTTCTGTGACTGATCTTGTCTGGGTCACATACCTGCTGGGTGGAAGTTTTAGCCTCGGCCATCCAGGAGCAACCTCTTTTGAGACGCACCCTGTTTATGTATTATTGATAGCATTTTGCTAATTAGTTTGTATGCTGAACATTTACATTTAGCATACTGTGATGGGGAAAGAGGGGGGGGGGGGGCACTGTAGCCTAGTGGCTAGATGCTTATCTCCCAAGCCTAAGATCTTGGGTTTGATTCTATATTGAGCTAATTTAAATACCAGAAATGGGCACCAATTAAAGTGCTACAAATTAAAGTTGGGCTTAAGGTTGACTGCATCCTCTATTCTATGCCATTAAATCTATACAAAATATGATTTTAGCCTGATGCGCCACTGGTGTTAAAAGTGCCCATCTGCTTTTCTTGAAAACAAAATAGGATGATAGGCTGTCTTTGTTTTACTATTTTAAAAATGGGGCAGCATTGTAAACTGTCTCTTTTTGATTTTGGGTCTTTTGATAAGTTGTCTTTCTTTGCCTTTCAAAACAGTTTACTCATATTTGGTAGCGTGTTTCTAACATTCTGCATTAAATCAAATCTAAATTTTTGGAAACATTACTGTTACTTCTCTCTAATTATTATTTATTATTATTCAGTTGTGGTCAAATATGGCAGATAGGCATGTTGGCTGCTAAAGTGAGCATGTTATTTTCTTCTGATCTTGATTTGCTTTGCATTTGCCCCCATATATGGACTGAGAGTACATTGTTCTGCCCCACAGCTACTGAGTTGAGTGCATTGTGCCATGCCGTGGAATTCTTTTCAACTATGCCGAAGGTAGTTTGTGCAGAGAACTGCATTGCATTAAGAAAATGGCTGGTGGCCTGTTTTCACAGAACATGTGCAAATGAAGAAGATTGTAAGATTTTCATGACAGCATATGTTGTGTGCTAAACTCCCTTTGTGCTTCAGTTGTACTGGCAGCTGGAAGAAGATGAACTACAGAGACAAACAGTAAGCACATTTTTGAATAAAGAACTTTTTTCTCCACAGGAAAAAGTGACCTGCATGACCTGGTCGGCATGTGACCTGGACCTCGTTCTCTCTGCCAGTGAGAGGGGGTCGGTGGTGCTGTGGAGACTCAAGACCAACACAGTGACCTCGTTCCAGCCACTGAAGGATTATGTTTATTGTATAAAAGCTTGTCCACATTCTCCTACAATTGTTGCTTTGGGGTAAGGGAATATCTGTTTTTGTTGTTTGTGAAATATTGGCTTTTACTTCTTTTCCTCCTCCTTTATTTTGTTTCTTCTTCTTCTCCTCCTCCTACCACCCGTTCTCCTTTTTCTATGTTTATCTTTCTTCTTCTTCTGCTTCTTCTTCTTCTTCTTCTGGTGATCTGTCTCCAGTTTACGCAGATAGACAAGTTCTTGGGATCAGATTTTTTATTTTTTTTAAGAGTACTTTTCAGTTTCATAAAGCTTAGTATAATGTTTTTTCATTGCACCAATATTCTGTTTTTAATGGGCTGTACAAGGGCAGACTTGCAGGATGTGTTTTGTACTCTGCACACACAGGCCACATGAGACACAATGGTGAGCAACTTAATGAAACCTGTTCATATGCTTATTAAGTTTGTTTTGCCCTGTCCTGAGGTGTAGAATGATGACCTGTCCATACCAATCCAGTAAGTGTTAGTCATCTCTGGCTAGATTCTGTTCACTTCTTAAAGACTATGGTAGTTTTGCTTTTAGAGAGTGATATTGCATTGTCTTCCTGTTCACATTCTTCCCCTTTCTTAGCAAGTTTATCTACAGTTTCATTTCCTTGGATTACAGTATACTTCAGCCACCTTGCTAAGATCTCAAGTGAGGGAGTTTACCACTCTTGAGAGCTTGTAGCACAGATAGCGCATCTGTGAGGATGACCACTTGTTTGTCCTTAAGAGGGTGGCTGACAGACATGTTATGTTGTTGTTTACAGCTACGTTATGATATCTGCACCTGTTGGCTCAACACATCAGATTTCAGCAAACCCTTAATTTGTCACATTTTATGATGTTCTTGTTAACTCTTCGAGTCCCAGGGAGCGCACCATGCATTAATAGGTTCTTACCTAGAAGCCACATAAACGCATGATGCGTCAATTTTAGTCTCTCTTAACTACCCCTTGGGCCTGTGATGCTAAACCCCCTGGGACTCAAAGAGTTAAGAAGCTGTAGGTCTCATTTTCTCTCTGTCTCCCCCACTAAATGGGGCCCCAGCCACAAGAGGAGGCTCTTTACCTAGATCTTTGTGTAGTTTCTTCTTCTTAATATTCATCGGCTGTAGACTCCTGCAGAAAGTTCTGGTTGTTCGTCCACTTCTGGACTTTAGTCTTATTCCAGAACCTGAGTTTTGTGTGTATCTATTTTACAGATCTGGCTTATTTTTACGCAGGCTGTTGATTCCTTGCCTCTCAACAGATGTACTCCGACTTGAAAGGAACCCAGTTAGTTGACTCTTATGACATGCTTGTTAGGGAGGCAGTGGGTGTTTTCTTGTTTTTCCCCACAATAGGGCTTTTGAACCCACTCAGGGATTGCATATTATTATTATTATCTGGCAGAATTTCCAGTTGAATAGCAAATGATTAATAGCATCTTTGTCCCTACTGCTATCAGTTCCAAACATGGACAGTGAATAGGGCGCTGGAACAGAAAATAACTGCCTGTGAAATGCGCTGTCTCTGTAAGGTCATTAAGAATGCAAGAAGGTACAGGGTTACGAACACCAGCATTAGAGAGAAAGTGAATAAGACTGTGTCAGAATTATACTGATAAAGAATGAACTTGTTTGGTCATCTAGTGAAAATGTAGCCAGACCATATTATATACAAGATTTCTTACAGAAGAACATCCAGGAGAAAGGTGAGGGGAAGAACCAAGAAAGAGATTGATAAAAATTAAGCAGAAGCCAAATAAAAAAAGATGAACAAATTCATCACCCAGGCCACCTGAGAAGCACAAAACGAATACAGAAAACCATGACACGGTTAGGTTATCCTTGCGATGGTCTCCAAGGTGGTTAAAGACAGTTGTTTCATGATCTGAAGGTTGTGGGTTTGTTCCTTCCTTCCTAGTGCTTACCTGTACATTCTGGTGAAAAATTATGGCTGTTTTTCCACTTCTGGACTTTAGTCTTGTTCCAGAAATTGAGTTTTATGTGCAGATCCATTTTATGGATCTGGCTTATGTGTATGCAGACTGTTGGTTCCCCACCTCTCAGGCAGAAGGAAACTCCCCTAATTAGTCACCTTGTATGACATGGGTGCTAGGGAGGGAGGCAGTGGGTCTGTTCTTGTTTCCCCTAAAAGGGGGCCATGGAGCCCACACAGGGAGTGGGTCTGTTTCACAGACAGTATCATTCCGCTCTTGAGTGCAGTTTTTATGGAAATACCTGGGTATCGTCTCTGGGCTAATGGGCTCATGCATTATTTGATGATTTCGGCAGGTGGCTAACCATTCTACAAGGAGAGATTGAGTCATATGGAATAAAACTGGTGCAATCAAGTTGCTTATCCTGACTACAAATCTTTAACCCTCTTACCCCAAGAAAACTGGTTTCCCTGCATTTTTTTTAATGGTTACAATCAGTTCTGACTGCTTGTAACTGCATAATGTGAAGACATGGTAGGCAACACCAACAATTTTGGTAGTTATTATTTGGGTGAAAAATCAAAGTTTTGTAAACATTGTGATGTAATTAAATTATTATAATGTACCAATTAGTGTTTCCAACCTAAGTCCATTTACAAAAAAAAAAAAAAATCAAACAACTCGACCACTTTCAGTCTGGTCGAGTTTTTTGAATTGGAAACATTGTGATGTCATTGGTACATTATAATAATCTAATTACGATCCTACCTTGCTACATATGGCTGTGTCAACAGGCACACATTTAACATGGTCAAAAGGAAGGAAAGCAATTAATTCCTTGCTCAGTTTGTAATTAGTAATTTAAAAAATAAAAATACAATTATGTCGGTTATAACAATTAATTGAAAAACCCCCCGTGTGGGTTCCGGGGCCCTATTATAGGGAAAACAAGAATAGATCCACTGCCTGCCCAAAAGCATGTCATAAGAGTCGACCAATTGGGAGCTTCCTTTCGAAGTCGGAGTGCATCTGCCTGAGAGGGAAGGAACCAGCAGTCTACACTCAAATGCGTCAGATCTGTCAAACGGATGCACACGCAACACTCAGGTTCTGGAACAGGACTGCAGTCCAGAAGTGGACAAACAACCAGAACTTTCCACCAGAGTTTACAGCTGGTGAACGCAAAGAAGAAGAAGAAGAATTGAAAAAACCTAGTTACTAAACATTACTGACACATTTGTCCACAGATATCGCACAGGTCCTGTATTGGTTGTAAACATATCATTTGATACCCCTCGTGTCATGCAGAAGTTACGGGGCATCGAGGCCGAGATTACATCCGTATGTTGGTGCCCTGTCAAGGGAGAGAACTGGCTGAAGATTGCTGGCAGTGGTAAGTAACTGTTGTAAACAGTTTTGTCCTTCAGTGGTTCATTTGTTGTCAGGACTTTCAGTCAATATGGCAATAGGCAGGCTTACTTTTTTTTTTTAGTTGTGGCAAATTGTTTGCTTCTGGCGGTTGTTAGTTCTTGCATTTTCCTCCATCTATGGACTGAAGGGATGTAGTTCCATTGCCTAGCTACTGAGTTGGTGCATGGCATGCCACTGTGAGCTTCAGATTTCATATGGAATGGTTTACAACTGTGCTTAATGTGGTTTATCTTGTGAACTGCAGATTCAGTAAATGGCAGTTGGCTTTTTGACAGAGAACTGGTGGTGTCTTATGTGATTAATTGCCTATGCTCCTGCTGATTTGTTGTAGATGCTTCCTTTGATGATGACTGCACTTTCAGTTCTGGACTGTGTTGCATTTAATGCATGTGTATGATATTGGCTTTATAGAGACTATGGTCTGTTTTTAATGTTTCCACGAGGGACCACGATGGACATTTGGTGTGGGTTTTGCTGCACTGGAGCGGAGCAGCTATGGGTGTGACACATTTGCAGTGTTGTTGTTGGAACTGCAGTTACCTGATATATTTTCAAATTTTACTATTATGGTATCTAGCCACAAGTCTTATTGCTTTGTTTGGGCACTATCACACATAATACATATACTGTGGTCTAGAGGTGAACACAATTTCCAGTTTCAACATACTGATGTTAAACATCAGCTCTCCCTGTAGGGGCTTCATGGCCCTGTTTTAAGGTTTAAAAAACACCAAAAAAAAAAAAAAAAGACCCTCCCACTCTAACAAGCATCCCGAAAAAGGTGACTAAGGGGTGTTTCTTACAAAGCTGAGAACCTTCCACTGGAGTTAACAGCTGGTGAATATGAAGAAGAAGAGGAATATCTACAGACCTTTGTGTTGATTCTGATAACAGTTAAAGTGTCCTACCATAAAGAAAGCAATGTCAAACTACTGAATGTAGTCACCTTGTAGTTTTTAGGGTTGTATTTGTGGTGGTGGTTGGGGGGGGGGGGGGGGGTAAGCTCACTGCCTATGAGGGGGTGCAGAGTTGCATCCTTAGTGCAGCTAATATGAATTATGAAGGTCAGGATGTTGTTTTTCACCGTATAAAACTATATTAGTACATTCTACAGTTCCAAAGTAATCTTTGTTTGATTGTGTCTGGGTATTCTCTAACCCCTTCATGTATTGATTGTAGCAGTGTCATTGTCAGTGGAAGAGCTGATAGACTGACCAGTTCTGCCTTAGTTGCAGATGGCCAGCTTATAGTTCGTGCCGGCATTGTTTATTCCCTTAGAGAAATTGAAGGATTTTGGGAGCAGAATGTCTGCATCACTGCTGAGAAGGCAAAAACTGGAAGTAAAGATCAACACTGCCAGGCTGGAACGGGATGAGGAGATCCTATTTTGGTTGACAAGAACATAGGACTGGCATTGATATCTACAGTGCGCTTCTGTATGTTGGGGGGGGGGGGGGTCTGAACACTCGTGGACATGTTTGGAGTGCCAAGATGATAGTCTCACTCATAACTGCTTGTATCATCCTGTGCTGATTTATCTATGTATGTGACACAGGTGATTCTGGAGAACTTCTGGCAGCTGCTGGTGGGAGGTTGATCAAAGTGTGGAACAGCATCACAGGAGAAGAGGTCTTCTACAAGAAGCTTCAGCACAGTGCTGCTAGCGCCAGGTTCAATTCTCAAGATCCTATGGTGAAAAAACAGTGGATAGACATCAAGTGGTCCAGGCTGAATCCAGATTACCTCATCTCCAGCTCTTGTGGGTATGTTTGTATGGTTCTTTTCTGGAGTCTGTGATTGTTTAGGTCAGGGGTGGGCAAACTGTGGCCCATGGGCCAAAACTGATACGGCGATTAAGTTTTACTGTCCTGCAAAGCTGGTGTAAAGTTACTATATTATCAGACAGTTGAGTTCACAAAATAACAGAACACAAAAAACATGTGATTGTAAGCACACAAAAAAAATCCCCACACATACCAACCAACATCTAAAAAAGTGATACCCTGAACAATGGTAACCAGAAAATATTGCCAAATTGTTTATCCTGCTAGTGAAACACATGTTGTGGACAAACTGAGACATTAGGAAACAGTATCTGTTAGCAAAATTTAATTTAAAAAAAAAAACACAAAAAAAAACCCATTAATAGGCGATGACTGTTCTTTTTATTTGAACAGACACTTTTAGGAATATGTAGAAGTGCCTCAGTAGGTGAGTGTGTCTGGCCAGATCCATAGTTTGGGATTAAAATCTTAGATTATGCTTCAGAAATATTGTGAAACGAGAGCATATGGGTGTTATGTTTATAATGGATTTTTTTCTCTCTATGGCCTGTGACCAGGTAATTTGTCCCACAGACCAAAAATGGTTGCCAGCCCCTGGTTTAGGGGTTTATATTGTTGTTTGTGGGTGTTTCAGAGGTGTTGAAGTACCCCTGGGTGTGCTGATACTGTCAAGACCCATCTACATCTTGCCGTGGTCATCCTAGAAATATGTTCCCAAGTTGGAGTGCTTCTGCTTGAGAGATGAGACACTGATAGTCTGAACACAAATAAGCCAGCTCAGTAAAACAGATGTGCACACAAAACACAAGTTGTGGAACAAGGCCAGAATCCAGAAATAGACAGATAACCAGAAGTTTCTGATGGAGTTTACAGCCAGCGGACATAAAGAAAGAAGTTGTATGTGAAGGGAATAAGGTCTCTCCCACCTTATGTCTCTCTGTTCGATGGTGAAGAAAAAAACCCTGAGTTGTTGACAAAGCATCCTCACTGCACATGAAACCACTCATAAGTGTTTATCTCTCCTGGTTGGAAGGTCAGTCAGTATCATGATTGCTGTCTGCAAAATTAACACCTCAGGGATGAGAATCAAACAGAGGCAGATCCCAGAAACCCTGTTCAGCCTTATAGTGCCAGAGCATTGACATATTTAAGCATGCTGCTATTATTGCTGTGTGAATCATCCAGTTTCGTCCTTTTTAGCATGAAATTTTTAGTTATTTGAAGCCCCACCCTGGCTTTTGCCAGGGGCCGCAATATAGGCAGGCCATAAAATGGCAAATTGTCTGAACGCGGTTTCTGAGACCTCTCCACGGTGATCCTCATCCACATGGCGGCACTTTGTGTCATCGGGTATTTATCGCTTGTGTGATGTCCTGGTGGGGTAGACAGTCAGTCAGTCATTGCTGTGTGAGCTGTGCTAGTGTAGCTGCTGGAGATCTGGCCTGCCAGTACGAAGGTCCAGGGTACAGTCTGCATCCAGGCAGACTTTTTTTTTCCATCTCCTCCTTGGTAAGTCCCTTATCATATACACATACTGGCTGACAGCAACAGTTCTGTGTTGGATTATTATTCTTCGCTTGTGCGTTCCAGTGTCGCAATTTTGAGAGAAAAAAAAAGAATAGAACCATTGCCTTCCTAACGAGTATGCCATCAGGGTAACTAATTAAGAGTTTCTTTCTAAATCAGAGTGCGTCTGCCTGAGAGGCAAGGAACAAACAGTCTAAATATAAATAAGCCAGATCTTTAAGATGGATTTTCACGCTCTGGAGCAAGACCGAAGTCCATAAGTGGATGTTGGGGAGACTCAGGTTTGAATCCATCCTAAGATGGTGGATGTTTTTCCTATTTCTCTTTGGGGGGGGGGGGGGGGGGGGGGGGGGGGGGGGGGGGGGGGGGGGGGGGGGGGGGGTTCTAAATCTGCACAGTCTTTGGTGACTGAACTAAATCCTCAGGGCCAGGACACCCTATCTACATAACAAGTGGTACATACAGGAAGTAACAACAGTTTATCTTCCTGCATATTGCTAGTTTCACTTCTTTTCGCTTGCCAAAGACATACTCTAGTGGGTTCTGACTAATTAGGGGCATCTTCCACAAATGAAGTACATAAGCAAGGAACCAGGAGTCTGCAAACAAAAAAAGCCAGATGTGTGAAACGGATGTGCATATAACAATCAGATTCTGGACTTACTTACTTAGTCGCTCCTCTTCTACCTTGGGGTGTAGAGGTTTGCCAGAGAGATCACCAGACGTCTCTATCCACAGTTTTCTTTCTGGCTTTGTTCCATTCCAGTCCTCTGTCAGTTAAGGACTGTTGGATGTTGTCTTCCCAGCGCACCCTGGGTCGTCCTGGAGGTCTGGTTCCCTGGTTCTTAGCCTCCCATGCTTGCCATGGTGGCCGATTTTCTCCCATTCTACATACATGTCCAAACCATCGTAACTGTGACTGATCCACTCGGGTTTGTAAGGACTGGGTATCAAGATCTTGACGTATTGTCTGATTGCGGACTTTGTCCCTTCTTGTCACTTGGACCACCTTTCTCAGATATCTCATTTCCGAGGCCTGCAGCTGGCTTCTGTGAGCTGTTGTCATTGCCCATGACTCACACCCATAGGTCAGGACTGGTACATAGGTAGAGCGGTAAACAGCCATTTTCGTCCTCTTGCCAATTTCACTATTGCTAAGAAACCCTCGGTTTATGGCCTGGAAGAGTCTCCCAGCAGCTGCTTTTCGTGTAACCAGCTCAGTCTTAATGCCTCCATTTCGGTCTAATACAACTCCAAGGTATTTGAACTGGTTAACTTGCTCTAATGCATACTGTCCCATCATGATCTGGTGTTTCTTCTCCTCTCTTGAGATCACCATGGTTTTAGTTTTGGAGATACTGATGGTCATCCCTCTCTTTTCAAGCTCTTCCTTCCAGACAAGTAAGTTGGACTGAAGGTGTGCCTCTGATTTAGCTATCAGGGCCACATCGTCTGCAAATGCCAGCTCGGATATACAGATTGGTCTCATCTTCCAGTACCCTACAGAATACTTCCTTGTCTTCTCCTTACAGGCCTTGATGACATCATCCATCATAAGAATGAAGAGGTAAGGTGAGAGAATATCACCTTGTCTAACACCGCTGGTGGTCTTAAATTCTTCTGACTTTTGGTCTGCTGTTCTTACATAATTTCTGCAGCTTTTGTAGAAACTCTGTATTGCACTGATCAGGGTTGCTGGGATGTTTTTCCCCGCCAAGCAGCCCCAGAGCTTGTTCCAGGGTACTTTGTCAAATGCCTTCTCCAGATCCAAAAAACATAGGTGCATTTCACTCTTATATTCAAGGGTTTTTTCACTCATCTGTCTCAGTGTGAAGATTAGGTCTTGAGTACTTCGGTTTGCTCTGAAGCCGCATTGGGCCTCATCCATCTGTGGCGCTACCAGAATTCTAAGTCTCTGCTTGAGAATTCTAGAGTAACTTTTACCAGGAACGCTGAGGAGGGATATGCCTCTGTGGTTTTCACATTGTTTGTTATCAACTTTTTAAAATATAGGTATAATGATGGCAATCTCCCAATCTTTTGGTATAGTTTTACTACACCAGGCTGCCTGCAGAACCTTTAGTAGAAGGCGCTCACCTGCGACACCCATATATTTGACCATCTCTGGTGTTATACCATCATGACCTGCTCCTTTACTCAGCTTAATCTTCTCAATAGCTGCCTTCAACTCTACCATCCTGATGTTATCATCCTCATGGATGATTTCCTTCTCGGCAGTGAGTCCATTATTTCTGGGTCATGACTTCCCTTAACGCCAAGGAGCTCTGAGAAGTATTCTTTCCATCTACCCATGATATTATCTGTAGAAGTAAGCAGAGCCTCTTCTTTGTCTTTTATGAATTTCAATGGGCACTCTTTCTCTTGAGGGTCTTGTAGAACAGTTTTTGATTTTCTCTGGCATTCTTTTTGGACTTTTCTCCAAACTCTTCCCATGATTTCTGTTTTGCTTTAAGCACAATATTTTTGGTCTCTGTTCTGAGTGCTACATATTGTTTATATTTCTCTATTTCTTCAGCTGTGTTTCTGGCTGCCAGGTATTGCTTCCATGCCCTTTTCTTTTCTCCTATTTTCAGTTTGACTTCTTCTGTCCACCAAGGTGTCCTATGTCTTCGCCTTCCACTTGGGACGTCACAACATGCTTCTACTGCAGCTGCTGTAAGGATATTCTTGAATCTGCACCAGAGGGTTTCAGTGTCCTCTGTTGGTTCTTCTTCAGTTCCTATTGCTTTCACTATAAGCTCCTGGTATCTAGCCCTAATATCTGGCTCTCTTAGCCTGTATGCCTTAATCCTCATCCCTTCTTGGTTGCTTGGTTTCTTGCATGGTTGTCGGTGTTGCCTTGTTGGAGAAGTTCTTTCAGTTGTTCTCTTTATTGTGACCAGATAGTGGTCACTTCCAATCTCTGGTCCTCTCATGACTCTGGCATCTCTAACAAACTTGAATGAACTTTTTCTAACTATGGCATAGTCAATAATGGATTTTTCATTCTTTGAAGGTTCACATCTTGCGTACGCATATATACGCTTGTGGGGGAATTTTGTGTTTGTAATGACAAGGTTCTGTTCCCTGCAGAATATGAGAAGTCGCTTGTCATTATCATTCAAAACATCTTCACCATATCTCCCGATCACTCCACCCCATCTAGAGTGATCATTTCCTACTCTGGCATTTAGATTTCCTAGGAGGATAATTTCATGGTGACAGTCATCTATGGTCTTTTGGAGCAGTTCGAAGAATTCTTCTTTAACATCAACTTGCTCATCTTCATTTGGCCCATACACAATAACAATATTGATAATTTTATCTTCTTCTTTCAGATCTAACACCATAATTCGCTCCGAGATAAATTTCCATCCCTTGATGTTATTAACTTGGTTCCTGGCCACAATACAGCCAACACCTCCCTTAGCTCTCTCCGTCATAGGGACACCACTGTAGAGCAGCATACTTCCATCGTGATCTGTGATTCCTTGCCCCTTTTTCTTGGTTTCAGTCAAAGCCAAGACTCCTAATTTCGCTTTCCTCATCTCCCCTACTAACTCCTTTTCCTTCCCGTTAATGCCTCTTATGTTCCATGTTCCATAATTCGTAGTCCGTAAGCCATGCCAGTTCGTCGCCGTTAAGATCCGTCCTGTTTTCTCTCTGTAGTTACTTGTAATCATATTTTAAGGCAAACAGATGATTGGCCTGTTGTGCCTTTGCATGGTGGAGGGGCTGCCTCCTTGCGGCCTCCATGCAGGCCGTCTGGCTGATTCACGGTTACCCACTACTTCTGGAGACGCGTGAAGCACTCAGGTTCAGCCAGACCCTCCTCCTTTTACAGCCGGGCTTGGGACCGGTCTTAGCGGAGTTCAGATTCTGGAACAAGACTAAAAGTCCAGAGGTAGATGAACACCCAGAACTTCTTCTTCTTTGCACTCACCGGCTGTAAACTCTGGCAGAAAGTTCCACAGAACCCAAACATTTGAAACCCAGAACCTTCTGCCATAGTTTACAGCCAATGAAGGCAAAGAAGAAGAATCATAATAAAGATAAGTAGGAAACAGAAAAAAAAGAAGAGGGAGGAGCAGGAAGTGAAATAGTAGGAGGATGAGAATGAGATAGAAAAAAATGCTGTTGTGTTTGCTTTCCTTAGGCCACAGGGGGATTTGTACTTGTGGAACTTGCAGACCCTGACCAAGAACGAGCCAGAACTGTTTAACAGCACCAGCATCAACAAGCATGCCAGGATGATCTTCAACATTGCCCTCGTTGGGGACAAAGTCTGCACATTCTCCCTGGACAGGATGGTATGTTTCTCTGTGGGTGTGTGTGTCAGAGAAGTGTGGGGTAGTGCCTCTCTGTTTGTTGGTTGGTGTGTGTAGGGTAGTGGAACAAAGTCTGCACATTCTCCCTGGACAGGATGGTATGTTTCTCTGTGGGTATGTGTGTCGGAGAAGTGTGGAGTAGTACCTCTCTGTTTGTGGGTTGGTGTGTGTGGGGTTGTGGAACAAAGTCTGCACATTCTCCCTGGACAGGATGGTATGTTTCTCTGTGGGTGTGTGTGTCGGAGAAGTGTGGAGACCTCTCTGTGGGTTGGTGTGTGTGGGGTAGTGGAACAAAGTCTGCACATTCTCCCTGGACAGGATGGTATGTTTCTGTATGTGTGTGGGAAAAGTGTGGATTAGTGCCTCTCTGTGTGTGGGGTAGTGGAACAGAGTTGGAGTGCATCTGCCAGAGAGGCAAAGAAACAATATTCTGTATACAAATAAGTCAGTCTGTAAAATGGGTGTGCCTGCAAAACACCATTTCTGAATCAAGACCAAAGACCAGGATTGGACAAATAATCATAACTTTCTCTTCTGCCAGAGTTTACAGCTGGTGAATGTTAGAAGAAGATCTCTCTCTCTCTCTCTCTCTCTGTCTCTCTTTCTTTATTTCTTTCTTTATTTCTCTCTCTGGTTTCTATCCCGTGATCTGTCCAACATGAAGACCCTCCCGGTAGCTACAGATAGCAAAGCTCTTTGAGGTCATTGCAAAAACTCCTTGACAAATGTCAGAGGCAGGAAAGAAGTTGCATATCCTTTATAGGACCTTGTAAACCAATCAGCACTTGTTGGCTGTCTGTGGCTTTACTAGGTAATTGTACTTTCAGTAGTTTGCCATTGCTATATCAAACATAGATACTTACAGTCATCTAGTGAAAATGTAGCCAGAAAAAAACTGCATATGATACTTTGTACAGGAGGGAGGTAAGAGGATGGGCTACAATCTTTCAGTGAGATGGCAAAAGAAGAAAAAAGAAGGGTTTCAGGGACCCACCTTTGGAGGGAAAATAAGAATAGACCTACTGCTGTCCTTACAAACTTCCTCTAAAGTCGGAGTTCATCTGCTTGAAAGGTGTGGAAGCAACAATCTGCACACAAATAAGCCAGATCTGTAACACAGACATGCACACGAAACTCAAGTCGAAAGTCCAAAAGTGGTTGAACAGCCGTAGCGTTCCACTGAAGTTCACAGCCGGTGAATGTGAAGAAGATGAATAATCAGGAAATTTCACTTCAGTATCTGCCAGCTTACTACTTCTCTTTGTGTTCTGTTTGTTCTACAGATTGCAGTATGGGACTTCAAACATCGTAGAGGCTTGGTATCATGGTGCTCAATTGGAGGTTATGTATGTTCTATCAGGGCATCTCCAGTTGATCCTGGTGAGACCATAAAAATATTTGTTGTCCCTGTGTGGTTTCCAAGACCCCATTTGGGGGGGGGGGGGGGGGGGAAGGGGGGGATTAGACCCTCCACCCCACCTGACAAGCATGTCATAAAAGGTAACGAATTTGGAATGTTTCCTTCGAGTCCATCTGCATAGGAATTGAGGAACCAACAGTCTGCATACAAATAAGCTAGATATGTAAAATGGATGTGCACACAAAACTCAAGTTTTGGAATAAGACCAAAGTCCAGAAGCGAGAACAACTAGAACTTTCCAGTGGAATTTACAACTGGTGAACACAGAGAGCAGTGCTATACAGATACAGCAGTAACAGAGCCAGAGGTCGACCGTGCAGAATATGGTTCGCAGAAATATCAGAGTCACTGAAAATTACTTTAAATGAAATGAACAGAAGCACCCGTTCTAAAGATCTCTTCCTGCCCTGACCCCGCGAGGCATTCCAGGAGTAGTGGAAAGAAGAGAAGAAGAAGAACAACACAGAGAAGAAGAAAATAAAATTTATTGTATATATTACATTTTTCTTTCACTCTTTCTGCTGCTGCTACGTTATTACAATTGGCGTCACTACACATTGGGCATTCCCAATAGGACTCAGTCCTCCAGTGCAGCAACCATTCCAAGGTACCTCTACTGATTGTTTCCATGAGAGGTTGTTTAAAACAACTCCTGTTTTGACCTCAAAGACAGCACCATCATGCTTCATCATGCTTTACTCCCAGGTCACGCAATCATGTTACTGTCAGAGATTCTGCTCCTACTGCCTGACCTGTGCCTGCTCCATGTCATCTCCTAGATACGTCTGTGGACATGCATGCACACAAACACACTCACTTGCCAACATGTGAATGTGTATTTGTGATTATGCACAAATCTGTTTTGAAATATATGTTGTTTGTCACATACTATTATGCTCTTAGGTTAGTACAAAGTAGTCATATTGTGTGTATTAATATATGAACGTGCACCATAGATATATTACAATTGCTGTGTGACAAATGAGTTCTTGAGCATTGAATGATCCTGTCCAGTTTGTTACCTTTTGAAAGTTTGTTTGTTCGTTCTTCCTTATCTTCTGTTTGTCCTGCTGCATTTTAGCATGGACAGTATTGTTGAAAAATAGTTTTTTGTTTTGTTTTATGCAAGGTGCACATTCTTTGTGTTCACTGGCGGTGAACTCCAGCAGAATGTTCAAGTTGTTTGTCCACCTCTGGACTTTTGTCTCCTTCCAGAACTAAGATTTGGACTGCACATCCGTTTTACAGCTGGCTTATTTTTTTACACACTGAAATTCCCTGGCCTTTCATTTTGATGCATTCCAACATCTGGAGGAAACAGTCATGGTCACCTTTACAGCATGCATGTTAGATGACACTGGATCTGTCCCCCCCCCCCCCCCCCCCTCCCCTGAAATAGGTCCCTAGGACCGACACAGAGAGCACATTTTCAAGTTTCCTTCTTCTTCAGCCTTTTATCTTCTCTCAGCCTGTAGGTGTGCAGGTATATACTGTCAAGTCCTGTGTACACTTGTTCATGATTTTTCCAGCAGTTTGTGATTGGTTGGTGTATCCAGCTAGAGTTTGGGGGGGGGGGGGGGGCTGTGACCCGTGTCATGCTAGCTCTAGTTAGTCACCTTTTACAACATACAAGTTATTGTTATTATATATACTGAAAAAAGAAAATTAATAACGATGGAATGAGATGTCTGAGATGGGCTGCAGGAGTGACCAGAAGTGATAAAATCAGGGATGAGGTCATAAGAGAAAAAGCTGGCTCTAAACCAGTTGTATATTACATACAAAAACAGCTAATCAAATTGTTTGCCCACTTTGAGAGAATGTTTCAAGCATAGTTGCAGTGAGAGTGTTATATGTTTCAGGCATGATAGCAATTAGTTCCGGAGAATATGTTATTTGTTTCAGGCATGATAGCAGTGAGTTCTAAAGAAAATGTTGTATGTTTCTGGCATGATAGCAGTGAGTTCTGGAGAATATGTTGTATGTTTCTGGCATGATAGCAGTGAGTTCTGGAGAATATGTTGTATGTTTCTGGCATGGTAGCAATGAGTTCTGGAGAAGATGTTATATGTTTCAGGCATGGTAGCAATTAGTTCCGGAGAATATAATATATGTTTTAGGCATGGAAGCAATGAGTTCTGGAGAATGTGTTGTATATTTCAGATACGGTAGCAGTGAGCTCAGGAGAATATGTTATATGTTTCAGACATGGTTGCAATGAGTTCTGGAAAATATGTTGTATTTTTTAGACATTGTAACAGTCAGTTTTAGAGAAGATGTTGTATGTTTCAGGCATGGTAGCAATCAGTGCTGGAGACAATGTCATTCGAGTGTGGAACCAGAATAACAAGTCCAAACATCTGGATGTTACCAGTATCTCGTATGGTGCCCGCTGCATGATCACTTCAGTAAGTTATTGCAAGCAGTTTCTGTGCCATGTTAACACAGATGTGAAATATACTGTTTTTACTTCTGCTATGACCGCTATTTAATTTTCCTTCTCCTCTTCTCATTCTTCCTCTTCTCATCTTCTTCTTGCTTTTCTTCTTTATTCTCATCCTCATCCTCCTCGTTCTTCTACATTTGCCATGAAAATGACAGTTGGCATGTTGTCTTGTGGTTTACACCAGTTCTGCAGTATCTGCTCCTTTCCGACCAGCGCATCTGATTTCAGTAAAACCCTGATGTCACCTTTTATGAAATGCTTGTTTAAGGGCAATAGACCTATTCTTTTTTCCACCAAAATTAGACATCTGCACCTACACAGGAACACACATATGTAGACAGCTGTTTCTTGCTGCCATTTCTTTTTCTTTTCCTGCCCCTCTTTTTCTTTGACCTCCTATTCCACCTCTTAATCTGTTTTCTCCATCTTCTCCATATATTTCTTTTCCTTATATTCTTTCTTCTTTACTTCCTCACATATTTCCCCCTCCTTATTCCTCTCTCATTCTTTCTTTGCTTCCTCTTATCACATGATGAATCAGGCATGCACATACACGCGTGTGCACCCCCACACACACAATCTCTCTCTCTCTCTCTCTCTCTCTCTCTCTCTCTCTCTCTCTCTCTCTCTCTCTCTCTCTCTCTGTATAATGTCTTTGGGAACATTAAGCAGTGAGGCCGACTGTCATACCACTGTCTGTCATGCAGCTGACTGTCATACCACTGACTGTCATACCACTGTCTGTCATACAACTGTCTGTCATGCCGCTGACTGTCATACCGCTGTCTGTCATACCGCTGACTGTCATACCGCCAACTGTCATACCGCTGTCTGTCATACCACTTCTTCTTTTCTCGCCTGAAATAAGTTGTCTATATCAGCAGTTTTGTCTCTGGTATAATTTTCATTGTCGTTGTTAATTCATTCAGTGGTCCATAGAGTTTACGTTCCACTGTTGTTCTTTCTGGCCAAAAGGTTTGCCCTAATGTGTCAAATTTGGCACAGTCTTGGAGTACATGCTCTGCTGTCTGGGGCACCTTTCCACAGGTGCACATGGCTGATACACCTATCTTGAATTTTGTGTACATGTGGTTACGTAATCGGTTGTGCCCTGTTGTGAGGCGGAGGATAATGACTTGTTCTGGTCTGTCCATAATAAAATAGTCCTCTTGTTTTGGGGCTGGTGGTTTCCTGATCGATTTAATGATTCTTTTCTTTTGGTGGTATGTGACTGGTACATCCGGCTGCACTTTTGTCGCACCTTCCCCTGCCAGTTGATCAGCTTTCTCATTTCCAGGCACTCCACAATGAAACGGTATACACTGCATTACGACTCTTGTGAGTTGTGTCAACAGTGTTTGCAATTCTGGTAGTTTCCTAGACTGGAGTGCTTCATACCACTATCTGTCATGCCACTGTCTGCCATACCACTGCCTGTCATACCACTGTCTGTCATACCACTGTCTGTCATACCACTGTCTGCCATACCACTGCCTGTCATACCACTGTCTGCCATACCGCTGACTGTCATGCCGCTCTCTGTCACAACACTGACTGTCATACCGCCAAATGTCATACCGCTGACTGTCATACCACTGTTTGTCATGCCACTGTCTGTCATACCATTGACTGTCATACTGCTGTCATACCACTGTCTGCTATACCATTGTCTGTCACATCACTGTCTGTCATACCACTGACTGAAAGCCACAAGAATAGTCCCTATTTCTATATATTTTACTGTCACAGGTAGCCTGGCATCCAGAAAAAGAAGGACTCTTGGCCTATGGTACAGACAATGGCCGAGTTGGGATTCTCAGCACACTCACAGTAAAGTGAGTACTCTGTTGACTTGTTTTAAGGTTGCATCTATAACTTTAACTTTTGCAAACTAGTCAAGAAAGTATAAAATAAATTGTCCATGTGGTTTCCAGGGCTCTATTTTTAGGTGACAAATATTAGACCTTTAGAAGAATGTTGCAACAGGCGGCTAATTGAGAATTTTTTTGAAGTTAGATGTAGGGGACTTGAGGGCGTAGATCTCGCAGCCTTGCTGTGAACCACAGCACAATGTGCCAACTGACTTTATAAAGGTGAAAGCAGAAGGCCAAGTGCTCTCTTTATGCCAGTGGCACATTGGACATAGGATGTTAGATACTCAGTTGGCACTCTCTCTGTGATGTGGCCAGCATAACACTGATCATCTTTACTTTCTAGGATATTTCCCAGTCCCCTTTTAGGGTAGAAGCTAAAGTTAATTATTTAAAAAATTATGCTGCTAGGTAAGTATCTAGCCCCTAACTGTCATGGTTTCTAAATCGGTCATGGTAGTTTCCATGATGTTTTACATTTAAATGTTATCAAAGGATAACATGAAGATGGCTAGGACATGTTTGCAGAATGCCCCATAACACTTTTGCAGAGCAGTTCTCTGATTGATGGCAGATGGTGAAAGGGAGACATGAAGGACTTAGGGAAACCTGGAGAAGGACAGTAGAAAAGGAAACGGAGTGGAAACTGACATGGGATACTATGGGCAGACAAGCAGCAGTTGAGATCACTTGAATGCTTTTTTTGTCAATAATGGCATGGAGAGGGGGTATGGGTATGGATAGATAGTCTCTCCTAAGTATTCAAGAAGAGCCATAGTGGTGTTATGGTTTGTTCAGTCACTTGCCAAGACAGGGATTTGAGTTCACTTCTCTAGCATTGGCAGGTTTCTGTTTTCCTATCAGTGCAACTTTGGGGAGATGTACATAAACACAAATGTTGACAACAATGGTCCTGAAATCCCATGCTATCATTGTGGAAGACTTCTCTTGACACGGGTGGGTCTTGCTAGTCACACTCACCGTGGCCATGGGCTGTGAGTCATGCCTCCTCATAGCACATCACTGTCTGTCATACCACTGTCTGCCATACCGCTGTCTGTCATGCCGCTGTCTGTCATGCCGCTGTCAGTCATACCGCTAACTGTTATACCACTGTCTGCCATACCACTGTCTGTCATGCCACTGTCTGCCATACCACTGTCTGTCATGCCGCTGTCAGTCATACCGCTAACTGTTATACCACTGTCTGCCATACCACTGTCTGTCATGCCGCTGTCTGCCATACCACTGTCTGTCACACCACTGTGAGTCTCATGCCTCCTCATAGCGCAGTATAACACTATTGTCTGGAAAGACGGAAAGGTGCCAATCAATCAGCAAAAACAGAAGAATAGGTTGTATTTCACAGAAGAGCAATTAAATACAGAGATTTTGAAGAGGAAAGGAATGAAAATAGGGCTGCTGAAAAAAAAAGTGAGGATTAAAATATTTAGGCCATATTGAAAGGCATAACACTCTTGTAAGAAACTACTGGAGGGAAAAGTTGAAAGCATGCGAGCAGGAGGCAGAGATTGTTACAGGTGGAAAGATAACATCAAGAGATGGACACAGAGAAGTCTGACAGAGTGTACAACTAAGATACATTTGTTTAAAAAAATATCTTAGTTTTGTGTGTGTGTGTGTGGGGGGGGGGGGATTCCCAACTTCTGCACCCTGCACCTTCAGTGCACTAAAGGAATGTGGAGTGAAAGGAAGCGAAGTCAGCTTTCCAATAGAACATAATCATGAAAAACAAATGAGCATTGCGGCTAAAAAGCCTTCATCAGCATACAGAAAACTTGAACAGTTATACTACATGAAAGACTGCATAGAAAAACATTCTTGTCAAATTAAGTCAGCTGGCTGTTGAAATATCCATGCAGATGGAACATAAAGGACAATGAGCGGGACATGGCCCAGTGAGACAGGAGGTTGAGAGGTTGCGGGCGGGGAAAGTAACATAAAAATACAGAATAAACATATGGCGAGTTATATTCCATTGTAGTTATTCACCTGACTTTCCCATGTTTGGGCTGGTGTTGAAGATCTCTTCTTGTTGTGCTACATATTGATAAGGGCTTCAGCCAAAATGTTTGTTTCTGTGGCCCCCCACCCCTGAGAAAATAAATAGGACCCGGTCCACGTCATAAAAGTTGACTAATTGGGGGCATTTCCTTAAGTCGGAGTGCATCTGCCTAAGAGGCGAGGAACCAGCAAATGCAAAGAAATTAGCCAGATCTGTAAAAAGCTAGATCTTTAAAATGAATGTGCATGCCAAACTCACTTTCTGGAACATGACCAAAGCCCAGGAGTGGATAAACAACCACAGCTTTCTGCCAGAGTTTACAGCCTGAGAGCATTAAGATGGAAAAGAAAGTTCATGGTCATTGAGTTCACGGAATTAGTTGCTTGGTACTGAAAGACTCAACAGTTTATTTTCTTCATGATCTCTCTTGATTGTCGCCAGAGCTACAAAGGTTCATGCTCTGTGGGGCACTCTTGGCAGGCGGCTGGCCATTCTTCGGAGAGAGACCAAGCCATGTGGGGTAAATCAGGTGCAATGAAGTCGATCCTCTCGACTTTAACCTTTAACCTTTATTTTCTTCCTCTTTTCTGTGATCAGGGCTCCGGTGATGTCAAAGTCCATGCATTCAAAAACAGTCTATGTTGTGTGCTGGGGTCCACCTTTGCGTGGTAGTGCAGGTAATGTACATTTATGTTGCATCTCCTTTATTTTTAGTCATATTTCAATAAGAAAAACATGTTTACCTGAAGCTCTGTGTGTGGGTTTTGGGTCCACTTGTTGGTGGAGAAAAAAGAATAGACCCACTGCCCCTTAGCAAACGTAGTAAAAGGTAACTTATTAGGGATTTTCCCTCTGAAGTGTGAGCGCATCTGCCTGAGCGGCAAGGAACCAACAGTCTTCATACAAGTAAGTCATATCTGTAATATAGATGTGCACATAAAATTCAAATTCTCAAACAAGACTAAAGCCCAGAAGAGGATGAATAACTTCTCATTGTAATATACAGCCAGCCGGTGAATGCTAAGAAGAAGAAGAAGAAACAGCAAGACATTAATATTTTACTAAGAGCACATCATGTTGGCACCGTCAGTCCTAGCAACCATGGAGCTGTACCACTGGTTTGGGGAACAGCGTCTGCTGAGACTAAAGTCAAATTATAGTCTGTGCCACATAGGGTGCTTTAAAATATTGATACTCTGTTATACTGAGCCTGGTTTTCTCTCAGGCGTCTCCTCTCTGTAGCTTGCTGTGTTAGCCCTCTTGCTTAATTGGACAGTCCATCTTTCACTGTCTGCCTCTTGTCAAGGTTCGCCCTGTTATGGGACAGTTCAGTAAGATGATGATTAATCTCGTCATTGTACCCTGCGACCCTTAGTTAAACTCAGTACGTGTATAGACACGTATAAACGGGGGTACTGAACGTAGCTGGGCTAATGCTCAGCCAAGCAGGTCAAGGCCAAGTGAATTTCGCGCAGGCTGACCAAGACGTGAACTCGGAGACGCATAACAAAACGACTGTGCAGGCGGACTTCAAGACTCTTGACTCTTGCTTGGTTGTGACTGATGTAGTTAGCTTGACGTGTGACGGATGTTAGATTGTGTTAGATTCAGAGACTGTTCGTCTTGACTTATAGAAATGTTCCACCATATTTATTAGCTGTAACATGTTCTGTTCGTAGTGTCATTAAATGTATTTAATTTGTTACGGAGTAGATAATACATGTTTCATTTAGATCTCAGTTAGTATTAGATTTAAGGTAGTAGCTAGACTTTGTCAGTAGTTATAACGCTTTACGTTAAGCCAGACCGTGCATTGTTTGTGGCATTAGCACCGTCGACGCACCTCTAGCCACACTTGGCGTATGCCATAGCGTCTTTGACATCGGGAGACAGCAGGTCGAGTTAGCGCTGTACTGGAGAGTGGTAACGGCTCAGAGCTTATATCATGAACGTGAAAAGGCGCATCTAAGTGATTTTAAAGTTAGAAGCGGCCTGGTTTCAGAATAAGGAGCGCTACCCCTCCTGAGGTGTTCCACCGTCACGTTTATTTCTTTGATAATAAAGATAGTGTGTGTGTTGCAACCAGTGTTTGGCCTAGGTGTGTTTGTCAGCAGTGTTTTCCTGTCATTAGCCTTCAGCAGTGCCCATGGAATTGAACCCTATACAATTAGATTCCTGACACCTCTATAGTAGTCAGTTTATAGCTAATATCTTCCATACTCATGCTTTTGTGTTCTTTTATAATATTCATAATATGCATATCATCATATGATCATAACATGCTTTGTTAGTAAAATACAACTACTGTGCGAAAGATGGTTGACTGGAAGGGCCAAATGTAAGACGGGCCTGCGTGCCCAATTTGTGACCCTTTGAAAATTAAGTTCGTTCGTTCATACCCTGGAGTCTAATTTTTAATTAACTCTTGAATGTGATTTTTAACTGTAGCCCATAATGTTTAACTGCATAATGTAATTTTTAACCCTGGAACCTGATTATGGATTGTAGAATGTTTAACCCTGGAATGTTATGTTAACCCTGGAATATAAATTTCAAACTGTAGAATTTTATGTAGTTTTCAATTCTAGAATATATTGTTTAACCCTGAAGTGTTATGTTTAACTTCACAGACAGGCACAGGCAGTACCATGTTTATTCAGTGGGTGATGGGGCCATATTGCAGCACTTCTTTGATGAGCATGGGAGCAAGAAAAGTGCTGCAAACCTCTTCGACATAATCAATGAAGTAAACAGCACAGAAGTAAGTTCTTTTCTTCGGTGTTGAGTAGTTTCTCATCTGTGTTTTTATAGAGCCGTGTTGAGTGTTAACTAGTTTCACAGCTGTGTTTTCTTGGAGCCATGTTCACTGTTAACTAGTTTCACAACTCAGTTTTCTTGGAGCCATGTTCACTGTTAACTAGTTTCACAACTGTAATTTCTTGGAGCCATATTCACTGTTAACTAGTTTCACAACTGTGTTTTGTTGGAGCCATGTTCAGTGTTAACTAGTTTCACAACTGTGTTTTGTTGGAGCCATCTTCAGTGTTAACTAGTTTCACAACTGTTTTCTTTGAGCCATCAGAAGAAAAAGTATAGTAACACAGTTCCTCATCTGAATTGCAGGGACCTTCATTTTTTTCTTCTGCCTTCTATCCCACAATGGAGCATAGGACCTCAACTAACTCATGGCAAGTCGTTTTTTCCTTCGCCATTTCATGCAGCTCACTCCATGTCCTCCCCATCTTTTTAGCATCACTCTATAGCTTCCTTCACTGTGTTTTTTGTTGTTGAGGTGGTCAGCCTGTATTTACTTCAAGGCGTCCGTTGGTTCCTGTGCATATCCACATATCCGTATTTTAGGGGGAAAATGTAGTTCCACTGCAGTCCCATTGCAGAAACTACGAGCAAGATTTCTACATGTTCATTATGTCATTGGATTTGTTGGTTTTCAAATGCCCTAGTACGTCTCTGCGATCATGCTCAAACAGGTTCTCAGCGAGAATCCTGGCTAACTTAGGGTTGGCGTTCCCTTCAGAATTGGTGTGCATCTGCCTAAGAGGCAAGGAACCGACAGACTGCACACAAACTTTCTAGATCTGTTAAAAACAGAGATATGTGCAACACTCAGGTTCTGGAACAAAACCAGAATTCAGAAGTGGGTAAACCAGGACTTTTTGCAGGAGTTTGTAGCTAGTGAACATGGAGAATAAGAAGAATTTATAAGTGGTCCGAAGTAATTACATTTTCAAGGGATAATGTTTATAAGCCAGTGTCTTCAATATTCATATGTAGAATGTCACTATGTTAATTCTTTTTGATCCACAGCATTCTAAGAGTTTTTCTACAACAGTTGAGGTTAAAAGCAGTTTCTTATGTAGTAATGCACGAGGGTCCATAAAAACTTGAAATATTTTGACAAGACTCATTAAGGAAAAGGGATGTTATTATATTTGTCTTCAGTGGCTTCAAGGGTCGATCTCTGAATGCCTCTATTAATTTATCTCCCTCCCCCCCCCTCTCTCTCTCTCTCTCTCTCTCTCTCTCTCTCTCTCTCTCTCTTTTACTCCAGGTACCTTTTTATTGTTTTTTTTGTCTCTTGATCTCTCTCCATGACTCCAGTATGTGTCTCTTCCCCATGCTGCATCACACATTATGATTTTGTTGTTGTTGCTTTGGTGGAGGAGGAAAAGAGGGGGAGGAGATTGTATACCTTTCACTGCTGTGTTTTCTTTCTCTCACATCTGCCTCTTTCTCAGTACCTTTTCTTTATTATCCTGTGATTTTTAATTACCTTTCTTTATATTTCTCTCTCCCACTCTTGCTTAATCTGCTTTTTATCTTTATTTCCTATTCTCCATATTCATTTGGTCTCTCTTCTTCTTTGTGATTACTATTTGTGTTGCTGTTTCTCCCTCTCTTCCTGTCTTTCACTCGGTGTTCACCCTGCCCGTCTAAAGCCAGACTAAGGTAAAATAACATGATGTATGAGTTCTGCTGATAAAGTTTGTCTGTGGCATAGGAGGTTATAAATGCAGTTTAATAATTCTGAGATATAGGGTCCAGTTCAGCTGCAGGTGATTTGGCAGAAGATTGCTCTATGTTGCATTTGATAGTGGTATAAGTTGGCGTCTGTGGCTTAGGCGTTACAAACGCACTTCGTAATTCCAGGTTCTATCCCAGCTGGAGCGATTTAGCAGCGGACTATCTTGCATTGGTTTCAATAGTGGTATCAAAAGTCGACCATTCAGAAAGCAAGCAAACTACTGAACGTAAAATTTGCCTAGAAAAACCACAACAGCCGAAAATTTTGGGGTTGGTTCAACATACTTTCATAAGCATCGACCGTTCAGTAGGAAAAGGCATTTGAAAGATTGCCTATTAAATTAACTGACAGACAACACATTCTGCGTATGGTTTACAATGCCCTATAAAAGATATGCCACTAACTTTAAACTTATGGAGTATTTTACTTGGTATATATTCTGATTATTTCAGGCAGACAATCTGATGCAGAGTGAGATGGTCTGGAAAAGAGACTACACAGCCTTTGCTGTTGGCTTTAATAATGGGTATGTGTCATCTTGGATGAAGGTATACGTAACTTTTGGTGAGGGTGCGTGTCATTTTGGGTGAGGGTGTGTGTTGTGGGCGAAAATCTGTGTCATGTTGGCAAGGGTATTTGTTATTTTGGGCAAGGGTATCTGTTATTTTGAGTGTGGGTTGTCATTGTGGGTGAGGGTAAGTGTCATTATTAGCCAGGGTGTGGGAAATTTTATTGTGAGGGTCTGTGTCACTGTGGGCAAGGGTATGTGTCTTTTTGGACAATGGTATGTGTCATTTTGGTGAGGGTGTGTGTTATATGTTTGGGTCTTAAATATAGGATAATCCTATACTTTGGGAAATATGGTATTTCTCAGGGTTTATTCTAAATTAAAAAAAAAAAACATTTATGTTTGCTTTTATGTTCCTTGTTGTGCATTACAGATATTCTTAATGCATGTTTATTATTCTGCTGTGATTCCCAGCTCAGTTCGTGTGTACAGCTTCCCGGGATTGCAGCTGGTCTACGCCATCAGCGTCAATCAGAAGATCGTCAACTGTGTAAGGTGGCATCCGGACACCACTGCAGAATCCATACACAGTTCTCCTTGCAGAAACTGGCTAGCCTTTGCAGGGAATTCCCCGTACATCTCTGTTGTCAACCTGCCACATTGTTTTGGTATGCTCTTAATACATGAGTTTGTTTTTGATTTTCATCCTTTGGCCCTGAAAAGCTGCAAAACTGGCACTTCCGGTTGTATCACTTGTCCTACCTCTCTTCGGTGACCTATTTACGAAAGGTATATTAAATGCTGAAGGATGTCTTCCTTTCTGCACACAATTTAGGAAGCTAGGATAAGAATACATTAACTTGAAATAGGATCTGCGTGAAGGGATCCTTTGAACCGAATAGCTTTTTAAAAGCCTAGATGATGTCATATTTCTGCAAAAGCCTCGGTGAAAAAGGTCATGGTGTCACGGCATTAGTCCAGCCAGTACAAATGTGTTTTTTTTAAAGGCCACATGTGAGGTATTTAAGGCTCCATCCTGTTCATCTTTATTGATTACTACCTTCATATATCTTTATATATTTCAAAACAAATTATGAAATGTAGATAAATAGATATTTAACAAACAGTTAGTGCTGGTCATGTTCAATTTATCACAGTTAACAGTTAGTGTCGGGTCATGTTTAGTTTATTACCGTTAACAGTTAGGGCTGGGTCATGTTTATCACAGTTAACAGTTAGTGTCGGGTCATGTTTAGTTTATTACCATTAACAGTTAATGCTGGGTCATGTTTATCACAGTTAACAGTTAGTGTCGGGTCATGTTTAGTTTATTACTATTAACAGTTAATGCTGGGTCATGTTTATCACAGTTAACAGTTAGTGCTGGGTCATGTTTAATTTATCACAGTTAACAGTTAATGCTGGATTATGTTTAATTTATCACAGTTAACATTTAATGCTGGATTATGTTTAATTTATCACAGTTAACAGTTAGTGCTAGATTATGTTTAATTTATCACAGTTAACAGTTAGTGCTAGATTATGTTTAATTGATTACAGTTAACAGTTAGTGCTGGATTTTGTTTAATTGATTACAGTTTACAGTTGGTGCTGGGTCATGTTTAATTTATCACGGTTAACACTTAGTGCTGATTTGTTATATTTGTCACCGTCAACAGTTGGTGCAGAGTCAGGTCCAGTCAGTACAGTGACAGTCACGGAGGCCATCTGCCAGCTGGAAGGACATCGGGTTAAAACCACTGACCTCTGCTGGAGTCCTCATCATGATGGGCGGCTGGTCAGCGTTGGCTATGACAGGACAGCAATTGTAAGTTGTTTTGTTCAAGAGAACTCTTGTAGTCTCTAGCAGTTTCCCTTGTGGGTTCCAAGGCTCTATTTTGTGGGGGGTAAAATGAATGGACACCCCACCACCACCAACAAGCATGCTGTAAAAGGCCAATAAGAGTTTGCTGAAATTGGATATATTGAGCCGAAAGGCACAGATATTGCAGCTTAGTTGTCACCCACAACACAACATACCACCCTCCCTTTTTAAGAGCAAACTTAACAAGAAGTAAAAAAGTCTCTATCAAAACATGTGATGTGTAGTTAACTCTTTACCTTTATTGTCATCAGTGGCATCTTGCCTTTAATTTTTTTTTTCTATTTGGTCAATATTATCTAAAGAAATCTGGTGTATCCATTTGCTACTTTGACTGTAAGTTTAGCTTTTGTAGCACAGCTGCCAAATTGAGACAGCCTTAATTAAAACCCAGATAATGTTCTGGGAATTCAAGTTGGCTGCCATGATCTTGACCACATCACCCATTCAGTGTCGAATATAATCTATATAATCAAGGTCTAGCATCATATGCCCAATGCGCTAAAAGCGTCACAGGAGTCGTTTGCGTTTTTATAAATGAATACAATCAGAATTTTTTTTATAGTGCTTGGTGATTCCTGTAGCCCTTCTTGGGAGTGATCCGCTGCTGTTGAAGATTCTAAGACTAATAGACATTAACTCTTTCACCCCAGTAACACTAAATGTTAAATGATTAATTGAGAATCAACATCATAGAACTCGCATGCGCGCTCCACCCCCATCTTCAGCAGCACATGAAGAGTTCCAGCTCCGATTATACCAGTAACTGTCTGATTGTGCATACGTCTCATCCTTCCCTTGAGTGATGTGCGTCGGCCAGATCTCCTTGTAACTTCCCGCAGGGCCATTTTTCTCAGACCGTAATGATCTGTTTGTGCCTCCGCACTATTCACTCACTCCCAAAGGGCCCTCACAACATCTGGCCTGTCTTACATCAGTTCACCACCCACTGGTGCAGTACTGGCCAATCTATCTGCCGGCTCATTTCCCAACACACCAGCATCACCTGGAGAAAATATCCAAAGGACGCTAACTACCCGGGACCTCTGAAACGATGCCTACCACTCTGCATGGAGCATGCATGTCTCTAGCTTTCTCATTATATGGTGACACACAAAAAAACTTAACAAAGCAAAAATGTATTTAAAAAAAAAAGGTCAGGACCCCTTGGGAATTCTTGAACAAAATCCTTTGAAAAAAAAAAACCTTAACAAAGAAAAATAAAAATAAACTGTATACAGGTCACTAATAAATCAAAAAAAAATATATGTATTACTCCCCCCTCCCCCAATTGGGGATTGGCCCCAACCGGAAGTGCCAGTTTAGTGGCTTCTCAGGACTGGGTTAATGATAATTTGGGATCTGCAGTAGAGCATTCTAAAAATAGAAAGCAATTGTTGGTGTCTGCTGTAGAACATTCGAATCTGGAAAGACATCTTAGGGGGTCTGCACTAGAACATTCTAAAATAAAAATAGGTTGTTGGTTCTGTTGCATGCAAAAAAAAAAAAAAGGAAAAGAGATTTTTATGTGTCTGCTGTAGTACATTTAAAACTTTAAATCAGATATCCTTTATTATGTTACACAGGTGTGGAATGTGAAGACTGGTGAAGGTTTGGCAAGCTTTTGTGGACATATAGATCGGGTGCTGACGGTCATGTGGAGCTACCTGGATCCAGATGTGATCTTGAGCGGTGGCTGTGACTCATCAATGTGGATTTGGAAGGTGTCTGCACAGTCCAGATCTGGGGTTGACATCAAAGGTAAGAATACACTTTTAATGTCATTATTGGCTACGTCATCTTCTTCATCAGCTTTGTCGTCAACATCCAACTAATTATAAATGTCTACAATATTCTTCTTGGCGTTCACTGGCTGTAAACCCTGGTGGGAAAGTGCAGGTTGTTCATCCGCTTTTGGACTTTAATCTTTGTCCCAAACTTGAGTTTTACAAGCACTTTCATTTTACAGGTCTGGCTTATTTGTTTTGCCACCTGTTAGTGCCTCACCTCTCGAGCGGATGCACTGCAACTTTGAAGGAAGTCTACATCAGTGACTCTCAACCTTTCTAATGCCGCGAGCCTTTAATACAGTTCCCTTATGTTGTGGCGACCCCAAACAATTATTTTCCTTCACAACGTCAGTGAATATATGTTTTCAGTTTTAGGCATCTGCCTAAGAGACAAGGAACCAACAATCTGCATACAGATAAATGAGATCTGTAAAACAGATATACATGCAGCACTCAGGTTCTGGGATAAGATTTAAGTCCAGAGGTGGACGAACAACCACAACTTTCTGACAGAGTTTACAGCCGGGAAATGCAAATAAGAAGAAGAAGAACTAAACCCTGATTAGTCACCTTTTATAGCATGCTTGTTAGGGGCAGTGAATCTGTTTTTTTCCCCTCAAAATGATGGATGGAATCCACACTGGGATGATATTGACACAGTTGCACAGTACAGATGGAATGGAAGAATAAACTGCACGTGCTATGTGACGTAATGGCATAACATGATGATGATGGTAAGTGATGGAACATTCGAGAATGTGGGAAGGTTAGAGGGGAAGTGAGGCAGAGGGAGACTAAGGAGGAAGATATTGGACAGTTTGACATCATGGCATGGATGAACATAGAGGTAATCAGCTATAAGGTACTCAGCTAATCCCAGTTTCAACTTCAAAGCAAATGGGTCAACGCATAATTGCTCTGTTCCTGTGCCAACAGAAGCCACACAGAATGTCCATCACTGTCACTTGGGAAAAAGATTGATACAGGCGGCATTCTCGCCAGAGCCAATAGCTTACACATACATCAGATGCATAAGGCAGCCGTCGAAAGTGTTAACACAAACAGTCTGGCAGTTGAAATACTGTTCATCATCGATGGAAGCAGCAGTTACAACAGATCAGTACACATAGGCACCACCAGTTCTCTAGCAACAGGCCAATCGCCATATTTTGAATCTGCAGTTCACAATACGGTTATTACCACAATATTGTCCGCACAGCAAGTGTTACTTCCCTTTCCGGTCACACAGCCTGTTGTATATAGTGGGGGTGTCAAATATGCCTTATTTTCAACAGTTCAACTGTTCTCTCCTTTCTCGTGTTGTCACTGCTCACTTGCAAAATTATTGGTACGTTGTGCTACTTGCATGATGGGTTGTGAGTAGCGAAACTGGGACTCTGCTCAGAGTTGCAGTTTTGCTGGGACCAGTTGCAGCCCATCTTGCCCTTTTCCTGGGTATTGAGGGTCGGCCTGATGCCCTGGTCAGTCCCCACTGTATCATTCTCTTCTGATCATATATGTGTGTTGTCCATCAAGATGATGATGACCACTCTTTTTCATCAAGTATGAGTACAAAGATGAAAATGAAAGAGTGACTTGTGCTGTGACTTGGATTAAAATGAGGAAGAGTTGCGCAGTGCCGTCGACCTCACTCTCTCGCCCAAGTCCTATCTGGGTCCAGTGGCAAGACAGAGTCAGGACGACTGGCAGTGAATGACCAGGACGTTCTACATGCCTTGCCATGCTCTGTGCGCTCCACAGCGCTTTGCTAGTGGCGCCGTCTTGCCCGCTGAACCAAATATGGTTTCCTCCGTGCATTCTGCCAACAGTAGTCTTTGCATGCTTGGATAGGCAGTTCAGATCATAATAATCTGTGCCTCTGTAGTCTTCACCTGCTTCCAAAGGGCCTTGATAACATCTAGCTTGTTGTGCAGCAGTTTTCACCAAGTAGTGCAGAAGCGGCCAATCTGTATGTCTGTTAATTTCCCTAAACACCTGGATGTGACGTGTAAGCATCAAAACACTGCTTTCACAGCTCAGTTCACACATTCTAGGCCAAAATGTATGAAGTCCTCATTACTGTTTCTCCCCAGACACTTCGTAGGCAATTATAGAAATTATCTGATGTCCTTTTTTATGAGACTATGCTGATAGCAAGGCCCAACTGATTTTTAAAAAAAAATCTTTGAAATGCTTAGACTACATTGACTTGTTACTTTACGCCGCTCCATTGGAAATTCAAGATCCGCTATGTGATTACCATGGTAACTTTAAATTTATCATGTGGTATTTTTGATTACACAACACAGGAAAGTTCAATTTTATTGATACATCCTTGGCCACTTTTAGCAAACATCTACACAGTATGTTGTCAATAATCCTGAAGATACGATCCTTACCAACTTTGTGTCCAGAGTCAAGCAAGAGATTGCTGAAATCGGATATGTTGCGTCAGAAGGAGGAGCAGATACCGCCACCTAGTTGTGATGCACAACACAGCAAGTCCAACGACCTTTTCAGGGCACATATATAAATATAGTTGGTTTATGCTTTATGAGATGGTTCTTTTTTATTTTTATTTGGTTACTGCAGAGCGTAAAAAAAGAAAGAAAAAATTCACAAAGATGGTGGCCCCAGTAGCCACACGTGTGGGTGAAGAATCAGAGCAAGCTGAGGTAACTGCATCGGAGCAGGAAATTCAGGAGTTGCAGGACTTGCTAATGGCCAAGCAGCAGCAGCTGATGGCGCAGGTAATACATATATTATTGTGATAATAAAATAATGAGGACATAATACAGGGTCTCCTTGACTTATGACCGACTTCCGTTCTGACTCAACTGTGGTCGTGAGTCGAACTGGTCGAAAGTTGAGTTTATATTTGTCAGCTCTGTTTTCATTTAAACAGGTTATCTCTTTGAGTCCCAAAGAACACATCATACGTTCATAGGTTCCTACCTAGAAGCCCAATGAATGCATGATGCGCTAATTTTATTAATTTCTTTACTACCCCCTGGGCCTGTGATGCTAAACCCCAAGGGACTCAAAGAGTTATACAAATTGTACATTATATGCAAAAATTCAGTCTATGTATGTATGTATAATTATTATTAGTTAGTTAGTCTTTCCTCTTGTGTTGAGTGCGGCACATAGGGCTGAGGTCATGACTCTCCATGCATGGCGGTTCGTTGCAATCTGTTGTAGGTCTTGGATGTTTGAGTGGCCCATGAGCAAGCCTTCCCTGATGATAGTTCTACGTAGGGTTTCCCTTGGTCTTCCACGAGATCTTTTCCCCTGTGGTGTCCAAATGAGGGCTTGGTAAGAGAGTCTTGATTTATCCATTCTAAGGGCGTGGCCGACATAGTATAATTATTATACATACAATGAAAAATACGTAATATGTACTCTGTTGCATCAGTTATAGAAACTTTTTTGATCCTACCAATGTGGTTACCTTTCTTTATTATTTTGGTTTTTCAGTTTTTTGGTGGTCATAAGTGCGGATGCTCATAAGTTGCATAAGTCTAAGTGAAGGTGTACATTGCAAAATTTCTTAGTCTTCTAACAGTTTCTGCTGTATGTTGTAGGTGGTCATATATGTGCACACCCTTCTGTCTTGTGTACTCCCAGTTATATCTGACACAGATGTTTCTCCATGATGTGACACCAGATATAACCAACATCTACTGTATTGCTTTCTGTCTGTCTCCCTTTCCTGACACAGATGTTTCTCCATGCCATGACACCAGACTTGTCAAGCATCTACTTTCTTGGTTTCTGTCTGCCCCCCACCCCCTTCCCTGACACAGATGTTTCTCCATGCCATGACACCAGACTTGTCAAGGATCTACTTTCTTGCTTACTGTGTACCTTCGTTTCCTGATGCAGATGTTTCTCCATGCCATGACACCAGACTTGCCCAGCATCTGTTCTCTTGCTTTCTCTCTGCTGCCCTTCCCTCCAGTTTTCCCCATTGTAGCCCAATTTAAGCAGGGATAACAATCAAAAGTAACTGCTCAACCCACATCACACATAGCAGCTTCTGGGTCACAAATAAGCTGCAAGGCAAGAGGGCAGAGTTTCAGCTTTTTAACTGTGACCAGTCAGTGTCTGTAGCTCAGGTTTTATGAACACCCTTCATAAGTCTGCAGTGCTGGGTTTGATCCCAGCTGCGGGCAGTTTGGCAGCAGACTGCCTTGTTTTTGTTTTGACTGATGTATTGAGAGCCGGCCATTCTGACAGCTATGACACACTACTGAACGAAATCATGAACATCCAGAAAAATGCTGGGGTTGGTTCTGCAACATCCTGTGAAAGACATGCGGCTAACTTTTTTCTTCTTCTGTTGTCTTACTTACTTACTTACTTAGTCGCTCCTCTTCTACCTTGGGGTGTAAAGGTTTGACAGAGAGATCGCCAGACGTCTCTATCAGCAGTTTTCTTTCTGGCTTTGTTCCATTCCAGTCCTCTGTCAGTTAGGGACTGTCGGATGTTGTCTTCCCAGCGCACCCTGGGTCGTCCCGGAGGTCTGGTTCTCTTAGCCTCCCATGCTTGCCATGGTGGCCGATTTTCTCCCATTCTGCATACATGTCCAAACCATCGTAACTGTGACTGATCTACTCGGGTTAGTAAGGGCTGGGTATCAAGATCTTGACGTATTGTCTGATTGCGGACTTTGTCCCTTCTTGTCACTTGGACCACCTTTCTCAGGTATCTCATTTCCAAGGCCTGCAGCTGGCTTCTGTGAGCTGTTGTCATTGCCCATGACTCACACCCATAGGTCAGGACTGGTACATAGGTAGAGCGGTAAACAGCCATTTTCGTCCTCTTGCCAATTTCTCTTTTGCTAAGAAACCCTTGGTTTATGGCCTGGAAGAGTCTCCCAGCAGCTGCTTTTCGTGTAGCCAGCTCAGTCTTAATGCCTCCGTTTTGGTTTCTTCTGTTGTCACCAGTAAATATTGATACTGTTTACTCTGTTGGCTGTCGCTTGCCTGTTTCTTGGCATCAGGGGAATGCACTCCAGTTTCCTCATCTCACAGTATGCCACAAAATGTAGATTTGTCTCCGTCTGATATAAGTTATCAGTTATCTTCATGAAATAATCTCTTTCAAGACCTTTGTGTTACACTCTGCCTGTGATCTCATTTTGTGTCTATCAAACCACAGCTCTGCACCTTTTGTCACTAAGGGGCTGACTGTGCATTATTTACTTCCATCTCACTTCCATCTTCCCCTGGTTACTAGGCCCCATTTCGGGAGAAAAAGAATCCCCGGCTCCTCCCAACCACCAGCATGTCATAAAAGTAAACTAATTTGGGATGTTTCTTGAAACCAACAGTCTGCATACAAATAAGCCAGATCTGCATAATTCAAGTTCTGGAACAAGACTAAACTTCAGAAGTGTTCAAACAATTTTCCACTGAAGCTTACATCCGGGTAAGAAGATGGAGAAAGCCGAGGGGGTCTTTTTCATTGCACCGGATTTGATCCCATATGGCTCGGTCTGTCTCCATAGCTGATAGTGTTGCAAAAAGCATGCACTTCTTAGCTCCGGGAGTGATCTGCAGAGGTTCCCTTGAACAGATTGCACTTGTGGACCGAACTATGCAGCCATGAAACTAACCCACAACCTAAAGGGCGCAGGTCAGACACCTTGACCATTGCGCTGCAGAAATCCATGACCTCTAATTTCTAATTTGTTAAATAATATTATACGGGATACGTATTTCTGACATAGTTTTGTGGGAGTCCTGGCAATGTAGTAGCTAGATGCTCGTTTGCCAAGCCAAAAGTCTTGGGTTCAGATCTGCACAGGTGCTGAGATTAGCCAGGCCTAAAATAGATATCAGAGAGTGCCCTGAGAAGCAAAGATGGCTAGCGTGATGTTAACCACATCACCAGTTTAGCACTGGTTAGTTTATAAAAATAGAGGTGTAGCAGTTTATAAAAATAGAGGTGTAGCAGTTTATAAAAATAGAGGTGTAACAGTTTATAAAAATAGAGGTGTAGCAGTTTATAAAAATAGAGGTGTAGCAGTTTATAAAAATAGAGGTGTAACAGTTTATAAAAATAGAGGTGTAGCAGTTTATAAAAATAGAGGTGTAGCAGTTTATAAAAATAGAGGTGTAGCAGTTTATAAAAATAGAGGTGTAACAGTTTATAAAAATAGAAGTGTAGCAGTTTATAAAAATAGAGGTGTAGCAGTTTATAAACAAAGAGGTGTAGCAGTTTATAACAATATAGGTGTAGCAGTTTATAAAAATAGAGGTGTAGCAGTTTAAAAAAATAGAGGTGTAGCAGCTTACACAAGTAAAGGTGTAGCCGTTTATAAAAATAGAGGTGTAGCAGCTTATAAAAACAGAGGTTTAGCAGCTTATAAAAATAGAGGTGTAGCAGTTTATAAAATTAGAGGTGTAGCAGTTTATAAAATAGAGGTGTAGCAGTTTATAAAAATAGAGGTGTGGCAGTTATTAAAAATAGAGGTGTGGCAGTTTATAAAAATAGAGGTGTGGCAGTTTATAAAAATAGAGGTGTAGCACTATATGCTTGATGTCACTCCGGTGGGATAATAGTTCTTTACGTAAATTTTCCAACAGATGCAGTCAAACCTGGAACCCACAGAAAAAGCCACCATTGACAATTCCTGTCACGATGGGACTGAAGATGGTGAGTTAAATTATTTTTCCACCATATACTGGTTCCAGGGTCATGTTTGAAAAAAAAGGTGGGGGGAGGGGGGGGGGGGATGAATAGACTGTTGCTGCCTAACAAGATTGTTGTAATAAAAGGCCAAATATTTAGAGTTTGCTGCAATCTTTTGTTCTGGACCAAGACCCCAACCGCTTTTTTAAGGATAAATGCAGAAGAATAAATAATTTTTTTTTATTCATACATTACTGAACCTTGGGGTGAAAAAATAAAGTCACATTTTGTAAAATTGTAGCATAACTGTCACGTTCTAATAATCTCATATCACATCACTTTGCTCTCTGTAGATAAAGTTAACAAAACACCTTGTTTCATGATTAGAAGGAAGGAAAGCAATTAATTCCATACTTTTTTTTTTTACTTTGTTGAATAATTTCTTTAAAACAAAAAATTGGATGGGAAAAAAAAAGAGCAAATATGAATTATTTTAGTGGCACGACAGCCGTGATATAGCTGTGGACTTCACACTTGCTTGTCTGCTTAGTGCTCTAGAGATTTGATGCCCTGGATGTTTATAAAAACCTCCTGAGACCAAATTTCTTCTGCGTCCTTTTCTGTGCCTCTAGTTTCTTTGAGAGAATTAGAATTTCTTCAAGAGAAATATAATGATGCGTTTCTTGATAAAAAGGTCATTTTAAAAGATTTTTACATGGCAAAAGGTGTGACTATTTCATGCCAGTGGCATATGATCCATATTCTATAAGGTCCCTACTATTATCTACTGGTTTCACCATGTGGGTTCTGGGACCCCATTTTGAGGAAAAATGAATAGACCCTCTGCCCCCTTGCAAGCATATTATAAAAAGTGACAAATTAGGGCTGTTTCCTGTGAAACTGGAGTGCATCTGCCTGAGACAAGGAACCAACAGTGTGCACATAAATAAGCCAGATGTGTAAAATGGATTTGTGTGCAAAACTCAAGTTCTGGAACAAGACTAAAATCCAGAAATGAGCGAGCAACCAGAACTTTTTGCCTGGTGTTTACAGCCAGTGAATGCTGGGAAGAGAAAGAAGAGATGGCTTTAGTAAAATCTTGAGATTCTGCTTGAAATGTGTCTTTTG